CCCAGTTAATTTTTTTGATTTATTGTAGAGATGAGGTCTCGCCAAGTTGCCCAGGCAGGTCTCGAACCTGAGGGCTCAGACAATCCACTCACCTCAGCGTCCCAAAATGCAGGATTACAGGGTGAACCACCAAGTTCGGCTTATCTCTTTTATTCCTAGTCAACCTAGTGAGAGATTTGTCAAATTTGTCGATCTTTTCAAATAATTGATTTTTAGTTTCATTGACTTTTTAAATTGTTTTCCTAATCTCTATTTTATAAATTTTCACTCTTGTCATTATTATTTCTATCCATCTGTTTGTTTTGCTTTTGTTTGCCTAGCCCTTTTCATTGTTTTTGTGTGAAAGATGACATTGTTGATTAGATATTTTTCTTCTTTTATTAATGTTTACATTTATAAGTATAAATATCACTCTATGTATCACTTAGGCTACATCATATAAGTTTTGTTATCATATGTTTTTTGTCTTTGTCTCAAATTACTTTTCTAAATTTTTTTTGGTTCCTTCTTTTTTTTTTTTTTTCATTAATCAGTATTTTTTATTATGGTTTTGTGGGGTACAGTTAAGGATTAGGTGTACAATGACGTTTCATTCAGGCACCCTGTAAATAAGAAGTGTTTTCCCATGCCCCGACAGATATTTGCTACTGTTAATCCCATCCCCCTCCCCCCTTCTTTTAATCATTGATTATTTGAGAGAGTTATTTAATTTCCACATATTTGTAACTTTCCAAAATTTCCTGTTATTGATTTCTAATTTCATTCCACTGTGGTCAGAGAATATAGTTTGTATTATTTCAATCATTTATTTTTATTTACTTATATTTTATTTTTATTTTTAAATTTTTATCAGAGTCTCAGTCACCCAGGCCAGAATGCAGCTGCATGCTCATGGTTACCACAGCCTCAACCTGCTGGGCTCAGGTGATCCTTCCACCTCAGCCTTCCATGTAGCTGGAACCACAGGTGTGTGCCACCACACCTTGCTAATTTTTCTTGATTTATTGTACAGACAAGGTCTTGCCAAGTTGCCCAGTCTAGTCTCAACCCCCTGGGCTCAAGCAATCCTGTTGCTTCCACCTCCCAAACTGATGACATTCCAGGCATGGGCCACTGCACCTGGCCAATCATTTTTTTTTTTTTTTAATTGAATGAGACCTGTTCTATGGCCTAGAATGGTCTATACTAAAGAGCATTCTACGTACACTTGAGAAAAATATGTATTCTGCTGTTTGGGGGTAAAATGTTTTGAGAAGTCTGTTAGTTTTAGTTGGATTATGGTGTTGTTCCAGCTTTTGCAAAGCTTAAGGTCAGTTGGAGATGAGAGCTCAGGACCTTTCCAGGTATATCTTAAGCATATAAATATCTTAAGCATATATATATATATATATATATATATATATATATATATATATATATCACAATTCTGGTTGTTGTCATTCTAGATTCGCACAAATATTGAAGCCTTTAAAATTCTCTATAGACATTCTCTTGCATTTCCTTTAAAGATTGTTCGTTAGTCTATAATTATACTATTGATGATAGTGGTAGCAGAATTGGTGAAGAGGCTGGCAACAGCCTTTTGATGACCTTGTCATAGACATCAGCATCTACATTCTCACAACAATTAAATAGAAACTATCCATAATACATAACAGCAAGAAAGGAACTCAACACATCATAACTGAGGAATAGTTCAGAGGAACACATATATTCAAAATAATCTAAATGGATTTAAGGAAAATAAAGGGTTTTGGCAAAATAGATAAAGGCAGAGCCATGGGAATCCTGTTTCGTGTGTGTATGTGTGTTTCTGTGTGTCTGTACGTGTGCTTTTTATGTTTGGTATTTGTTTATGTGCTTCTATGTGTACCAGTCTGATGTGACTTAGGAAGCAAGCTTTATTTCTAATCCTAAAAATAACAATGTTGGCTAACACTTATTCAGCATTAACTTTTTTCCAGGCACTATTATGCATATTTACATGTATTATATTACATAATCATAATCCTTTTATACAAAGGTATAATTTTGTCAATACTATTTTGAAGAGGAGCAATCTGAGGTAAAAAGAGGCTAAATATCTCATCTAGCATTATATGTTTAGTGCATGTTAAAATCAAGATTTTAATATGGACAATACAATTCCAGAGGCTATACTGTCAACCCCTACAATGTTTTGCCTTTTAGAAATGTAAATACTACAAAAGAATATCATTTTATTTAACTTAATTGTGACAGAAAATTTCATATAAGAGATTATATCCTTTGTTTAGAGCTATACCTTATACTATAGTTGTAAATTGACAAAACTAAACATTATTATATCAACTTTCTGCTCAAATTTCTACACTGGCTTATTTCACACAGAGAAAAAGATGAAGTGGATAAACTACAAGGTTACTAGCTATTGGCCCTCTGTTTTCTCTCTGAAACTCTGAAACTCACAGGCTCTAAGTTTATCTCTGCCTAGAAACTCTTCCTCCCAATTTTCAACACAAACAACTTCCTTAGCTTCTGTAAGCCCTTGTGATAGCTCACGTTTTCGTGAGGCAAATGCTGATCATTCTATTTAATGCTACAACTTTTACTGCAATCCTCCTTCTGTACTTCCAATCCCACTCATCTGCCCAAGATTTCCCACAGCAATTACCACTTGCTATCTTGTATAATATACAAGTATTTATTTATTTATTTAAACTTTTTAAAACTTTTAAATACAACATATTTATTATATTAATTATTTATTGTCTATCTCTGTTGCCAGAAAATCAGATCTACAAAGTCAGGAATCTGTCTTGCACCACAGTGTAGGTGCCTTATTTCTTTGTAGAAATAAATAATGAATGTAATTTATTTATCATTTATTTATTTATTTATTGAGTTGGAGTCTCACTCTGTCACCCAGACTGGAGTGCAGTGGCCACTCCCTGCGAATGTAATTTTTTAAAGTGAAAGAAACATGAACACCAATGTCTCTAGCCTATTGGAAGTAGCATATTTCCTCAAGTCTATCCTTAATTTTTATACTTTGGCCTTTGCACATGCTACATTATCTATCTAGAATTTTTTTTTCCCTTTCCACTTAAAACCCTGGGCTTTCTACTAAAATGACTCTTTCTAAACAATTCCCTTAGAAGTGTTTAACGTTTTCATCCCATGAGTCCACATGAAATGTGGTGATTCAAACATTATTTACAGTGCCTAAGATCATGTGTTTTAATTATCTTTTTCATATTGTATCTAGCCACAGACACCACCATTCCCTAACCTATAATATTTATTTCTCTGTGTGTATTCAGCCTGTAGCACAGAGATTGACATGTATTTAAGTCTTCAGTTAATAAAGCAAATGATGCTTATTTCCTGCGGTCTATGCCAAAACCTCTAAAGACTTAAAAAAGGCTTATGTTCTTAAGAATTTTAAAAATGCAATAGACTGATCTTTGCAACTGGCTGATGATATGTATGTCAAAGTAAAAACCAAAGGCTTGAATTTTCTTCACAAAAAGCATTTCTAAGTAACAGACAGTAAATTTTTTTAGAATCGGTCTCATATTTGTTGATTGTTGCAAATGTGTGTATGTACACAGGCTGGAGGGAAGAGCACAGAACTAGGTTGAGGGCTAATGCTAAACACCACTGAATTTCTAATACACTTCAAAGATGACCCTTCCATTAAAAGATGTGTGGTATGCCTCACATACATTTGTCTCTCTAGAGGGTGTAAACCACACAAATTAACACCATCCACATTTTAGCAAAAGCAATTTAAGAAGAGCAGCATAATCAATTTTTCATCATGTTTGCTTTTGGCACAATTAACAGTATATGCAGAAGAGTGGATTAGGACAGATTTTAAAGAATTTTTCAAAAAAAAGTTTTCTAGGAGTATGAAGTATAAAATACATAATATGTGTACTTGGAGTAATCACAATTTTTCACTTTTCCCATATGACTCCAAAATAGCCCTTTCTTAATTCAGTCATCTACAATGAGAAAATAGTACAGTATTTTATCAATGATAAAATACCAGTAGAACGTAAGTACTTCATTTTTCAATTTAGTCCTAGAGAATGCTTTCTGAGTAAATATGGGGAGAACTATCACTATGCAAATTAAGTTTATTTAAAAAAAAACCCTTTAAATTATTGTTTTAAATTTGTTTACACATAAAAGCAACAACTATGTCCAATAATATTTTTTTTTAAATTAAAAGTGTTTCCTTTGAGTTGAGAACATTTGTGTCTACATGATTCCAGAATGATAAAAGACAGTATAAGATGTTAGCAGATACAAACCAACAAGGATGGAATAGAGGATGCCTGGTCTATCTGATGGTGGTTGAATGTTTCGGTCCTGGTCAATGGCTTGGATCGGTGGGGTAACAATAATGGGGTTCAGTTCTTCCTGGAAAAAAATTTAGAGAGCTTAATTCAGCTGCATTACTAATAGTTTATGAAAAATCGACAGATATTTTGAAGATATTTTCGTTTGGATAGCTGGATAATATCTGAGCAAATAAGCAAACTCAAATTTAAAGATTTATAGTCTGACACCTTACACTACCCAATTTTGAATCCTAAGAGGAGGCAAAGTAACATCAAAGTAAAAGTGAAAAGGCTTAGCGATTATGTACATGGAATTTATGTCAGTAAATGTTCCTAAAAAGAAAGTAAGCAAGAAAGATAAAAATACCTTTTTAATCTTCCCTAGATGATTTAATGAAAAGAAATACAAAATTATTAAATAGTTTACAAAGTAAAGTTTTTCTCTTTGCTTTAGACAAGATTGGCAAGAATATTGATATTATTTTTCTATTAAATTATTTTTAAAGCTTCATATAAATTAGTTATATTACAATATAAACTTTTTAAAAGTGGATGATTTAAGTGGATCCATAACATTAAAAATTTCATACAATTAAAGCAGATTATGCAGTTATGTACATTTATTTTTAACTGATTTGCAAAAATATTCTATTTAAGATTGTAACATTTATTTATAGCAGTGTTTTTCAGTGTGATGTCCAGTGGTATTTTGTTGTGCCATCAGGACTGGTACACTTGTTTCTGTAAAGTACACAAAAATAAATGGGTTTAGATTTGACAGTCATCTGGTTTATGTTATAGCTTCTCAACTCTGCGATTATATCAAGAAAGCCCAAATGAGCATGGTTATATGCAATAAAACTTTATTTACAAAACAGGTGGTGAGTGACCTATAGTGTAATAACGCGTTATCATAATAGGTATGCTGAAACAAACAAACAAAGACAACCACAGAAACAATAGTAGGTATGCTGAAAAAAAAGTTTATCTACACCAATAAGTTTGGAAAACATGATATTAAATAAAGTTTTGGAAAACCAATTGAGAGTGCTGCTGGTCTGATTCAGAAACTTAAGTTTTGTAATTTGCACACATTTCTAAGATGAAGACATTATTTGCACACTTTCTAGAAACACCTATTAACATCTCTTTGAATTAATGCCCTTAGCATATAGTCATGAAACACTGTTTTTGCCACCCCTATGCCAAATATTTAAGTGGTAATTCCAAAGGGAAATAGACTGTCTCAATATTGTATAAGTTTATATTCTAACAAATACTGCAATGTTCTTTTACATATTTCTTCTCAGTTAGCAAAATAGTGAAATATGTCATGTACTCTTACACACAACCAGTGGTTTCATTTCTCAGCAGAAACAGAGCAATGGTGTGCTAAAAAAAATAAAAGAGCAAGCCGGGCTCAGTGACTCAGTCTGTAATCCTGCACCTTTGGGAGGCTGAGGTGAGTGGATTGCCTGAGCCCAAGGGTTCGAGAACCGCCTCGGCAGCGAGACCTCATCTCTACAATAAATCAAAAAATCAGCCGGGCATGGTAGCGCATGCCTGTAATTCCGGCAACTTGGAAGGCTGAGGTGGAAGGATCGCTGGAGCCCAGCAGGTCGAGGCTGCGGTGGCCAGGAGAGGCCACTGCACTCTAGTCTGGGTGACAGAGTGAGATTCCAACTCAAAAAAAAAAAAAAAAAGAGCAATTATATTTTTTTTGTATTGAAATTGTAATGACAAATTATAATTATTGACCAATAATTTAGACACCATATACATCTAGGGTTTCTCTTGGGTTTATTATTACTAATAGCTTTCAGTGCTCTAAATGTTTTCAATATTTTCCAGAGATAGGAACAGCTTACTAATATTTTATTATTTCCTTTAAATGTGGATTCAGAAACATGAAATTTTCAAATCAATGTCAAAATTATGCCATTAAATCCTGTTGATTATTGTTTCTCTCACACAACACTCCCACTGAACTTTCCTCCCACTTCCTCTGTGTCTCACACAAATACATAGACTCAAACAGACACACACACACCACACACACACACACACACACACACACACACACACACACACACACACACACACGCCCTTTCCAATAATCAGTTTACTTTGTATGCAATACCTGCATTTCTCCCTTAACTGAAAAATCTGAGGCTCTTCAAATGTGTATGTTTGAACAGGAGTCAAGCTGACCAGTTCTTTCAAACATCTCTCAAAGGAATCTGATTGTATCAATCAATATCAGTTATTTAGGCTCCTTTATTCTGGTTCAAATATTTAAACCTGTGGTAGCATTTCCAAAAGTGTGACTCTACTTAGATCCCACTAAGGAATCTTAAACAATCTCTGGCTTCTAGAAGTAAGTTAATTCCTTAGCTAGAATTAAAACAACAACATCAACAACAAAAAGAATCTGAGCTTTTCTGTCAGAGTGCTAAATGTGAACAAATCATAACATTTGATAATATACTACTAAATCAACAACACATAAACAGTTTTAGTTTTGGCAGTTAGTCATGTAGTTTAAAATTCTCCTCCTATAATATCTAGAGTTGTTGAAATGAGCAATGGAATTTTAATTATGTTACTTAGTTATATAAACAGTATAAAAACTAAAAATAACACATTAAGCAAAACCAAAAGGGAAGAAGTGTTAATTAAATTCCTCGTCTTCCATAGCTGCTTGTTAATAAATATCATATAGCAAGAACTGAAGATAAGTGAGTGTACTATTTATAATTATATTAATAATCAAAAAAATTAAAAATAGAAATAAAAAATATGAGTATCCTAGGATACTGTGTATGGAAGTGCAAGTGGATAGGATAAAAGTTATTCAGTGCTGTGTGACTATGCCATTACCATAAGCTGTACTTCTTAAACAAGCTAGCATGATAGTGAACTACTCTCGAATACACTTTTGTAGTATCCACTACAAAAAAAAAAAACTTCATCTTTAGCTGCCGCTGGAACTTTCATAGCTCTTGAGAAAAGGCAATCAATTCAGAGATTTGTTTCTTTTGAAGAACAGATTCTCTTCAAGTAGGTAGTAATTACTATTGCTTTTTTTCTCTCCTGCCCTCCTTGTTTCTCTTAGCTTCTTATTTTACTCTCTAGATTATAGAGGAAGTACGGTGTGTGTTGAAAACATTAGAAATCCAGCCATAGCTCAAATATGTTTTGATATTCTTTATGGAAAAATGACAAAACATTCTCTATCTTGGTATAATTGCTATAATTACCTTTTCTACAAAAACTTTATTGGTTTCTGGGCAGAAAATATTTTATTTGTGTTTGTAACCCTCAACATAGTGCCTCAGATTTCAACAGATTTTTTGTAATAAAGCTGAATTCCTAGACACATAAAAAGCCACATAAACACTGGGAGACTCTTGTAATCTCTCTTTGAAGAAAAACTACCATCTTTTCTGTCTCATTTGTCTTTGAGAAGAAGCCATGTCTTCTGTTTCTGTTCCAGTTGCTCAGTGTGCATAAACAGTGAATAGGAGAACAAATTTGCATCTCATCACTGTTTGAAACTTCAGCGCTACATTCCCTGACTTAGTACTAAAGACATATACCTAAAATGAATTAGGTCCATACAAAGAGATCGTAAATATAATCATAGAAGCTACTATGCAGTAACAAAAGCTTGTCTTCTTTAAAAATACTGTGTGATTCTTTGATTATAAATCTCAACATTATTCCATTATAAACACATGATTTATATTCATTAGCTCTTCTGGACAGGTATATTCTCTTATGAGCTGACCTAAGACAAGGTTTTTTTGCACAGCTATTGTATTCTTCTGAGAAAATAACAGTTGGCAATTAAAGTTTTGATGTGGGTGAAGTCTAGTTATTTCTTTTACAACCTAACCACCAGATTGAAAATGTTAGTTCAGTTCAAATTCTCTTATATGTACATAATAAATACAAATTTATTAGCAAGCAATCACAAAAGAAAGATTAAGAAACTTTTTCTGTACGTTTCAGAAAATCTCATCTCTATTCTTTTAGCTATTCAAACAATTAATTCGTTAAAAAAAAAGTACATTCAAAGGAAACATTGAGATTTCAGAGACTGGATACTTTCACCATTTCAGCTGTTACTAGGCAAACAGGAGTCATGATCCAAAGAACTGTAAGATTCAACCTATTATAACATCTCAATTTCAGAGGGTGTATAACTCATTTTATTCATATTGTTTCATGCATGGATAGAGAGCATTTAAAATAATTTTAACCAAAATTTATTTCTTAAATATTTTTCATTTCGCCAATGCAAAACAATATCTGTCAATTATATGTCAATGGATCAGAGCATTTTAAAAATAAAAACTCATATTTGATATTTAACATACTGATTTTTAAAGCCTTTGGCCTTGGTTGAGATACAGATAACAGGAGCACAGTTAAAATGACAAATAGTTTCAATTATCATTTGACTGATGTCTTCAACTGAGAGACATGATACATAATAGTACACAAAACTTGCTGAAGTATTTTAAATTAAACCAAGACATCATAATGATCTCTAAAACATTATAACAATCCTTAATAAAGGATACCTTCTAATACAACCCTGGAAGTATAAACTTAACTCATACTACCGCATAGTTCACTGGCATAACAGTCAAATTTGGATGTTATTTTAAAACCTATAAGTCTAAAATTTCAGTGTTTAAAATGTCTACTCTTCTATTTATATAATACTAGACTCATCATTGCTCAGATCTTTACTCTATACCTTAATCAAATAATAATGTAACATTTTTGAAAAGAGGATAGTTATATGAAAATAGTGAAAATGTTATATGTATTCCAGCACTAATAGTTTGTTTGAAATTTTATCACCCACATAATTGAATACCTAGGTCACTGAATTTATTATTTAATTATTTTTATTACTTTCATGTGTTCTTTACATTTAAGTTGACATTTCTCTTTTCCTTTTTCATTTATTTTTATTTATTTTTTATTTTAAAGATAAAGGAACAATTCATGGTTGAGTATACAAATGTTAATTATGCAGGTACCCATGTTGATGAGGTTTGCTTC